GTACGCACACGCGCGTACTTCTCCCGCGGATCGATATCCATCCGTGGCTACAGCCCCGCGAGAAACGTCGCGTCGTCGTCGCGCAGCCGCCTGTTAATTTCACTCGTCTCGGCTCTCGACTCTTTAAATCGACGCTTATCGGGCGATCGAATTGGAAACAACGCCCGTATGCATCGTCCACGCGGTGCTCGCTTTTTAGTCGAACGGTTCGCGTGGGATAATAGCGCGACCCGCGGATTTCGCGTATTTATCGGACAGGCACGAGGCTATTAGAGTGGCAGCGAAATGGAATGAGAATAAATAGCGATCTATAAATTATGCCGTGCACGTACGCGGACGAACGAGCACCATCTTTGAGACGGAGTCTGTACAACCAACGTTGTCCGACACGACGCGACGCCGGCCAACGGGGGACGACGGAGACAACGTTACCGGATATCGTGGAAATGGAATCGCTCGCGGCTACCTTCCACGTAAACCTACGAAGGCGGTGCTTGCTCCGCGTCCCTGTCTACCAGGTTTTTCCTCAGGCTCGCCGAGGAAAAACTCGATCGGTTCCATGGGAGACACGATCGCGACGCGGTAGATCCAAGGCGTTTGTCGAAACCGTATCCTCCATGTAGAGACCATCTTGCCGGGCTCTCGTCTATCCGCGCCACTCCCTTTTTCGGATCGAAGTGCGATCGATCAATCGCGGCAATTATCGATCGGCATCTTGTGAAAAAAAAGAACCTACGTGTACAGTGGGTATCGATTTGTAGAGGGAAAAAATTAGTTCGTCGAGAGAGAGGGAGAGTACGTCGGACCGTGACAAAGAACCGATCGATCGAGCTCGGTTAAATGTCACGGAGATATTCGCCAAGTAACCGGTGAGACAACAAAGCCGTAACGGTTCTCTGAAGCGCGTTCAATAGCGTTCAATGGCGAGCAGAACGCGAAAACGATCTAGAAGACTAACGCAAGAACAATGCCACGTGGGATTCCGCGGAACATCCCTACGGTTCTTGGCACGTTGAACGTGGGCGGACAGGGAACGGCACTCGTTATGCAGGAAACATGCCCTGTACTCTGCCGTGCGATCGTTCATCGTGCGATCGTTCATCGTGCCAGCGGTAATGATCGCTTGATTTGCTTATTAATTGATTTTAGACGCTACGTATCTAATCGTGAGCAGCGGATGTTACTTTTGCCCGGAGGCGTTTGCTCGAGAGT